GCCGGCGTGAAAATTTACTCTGTTAGAGTGGATGCTGTGCATGCTGAGGCCTATAAGGTCCTAAGTGGGATCAATCGAGTAGGGCAAGAAGATGTACATGGTATGATAATGTTGAGAATAAAATTTTTTTTTCTTAATAACCGCTTTGTGAGTTGTGACATTTACTCAAGTCTGTTTCGTTGGAGAGAGAATTGTTTCTATACCTTGTAAATTTTGGTATAATTTTCTTGTAGTGCTCTATTGCACATAGGGATTTTTTCCTTTGCTCAGCTCCTAACATAGTGGTTTGGTGACAGAGATGCACTAAGAGGTTGGTAACGTAAATAACAGCATGGAGGGTTGTCATACTAGAAAGAATCTGAGAAGAAGGTTGATTGTTTTCTAGTTTATGCTGCCTTGGTGCATTTAAGTCTGACTAACATGAGTGATTTTTGCAGATCTCACCACTGTCAACACTGGAGTGCTTGTTTGAAGCTCTTAGTGCAAAGAAGTTTGAGGGTTAGTGCATATCCTAAATATCTCTTCTGGATTTTCTCTTATTTGATTATCTCATTTTGGAGTTGTTTTATGGTTTCCTAGTTGCATTTCTAGCAGATCCTTTATATCAACAAACATCTGCACAATCTGATGAAGGTGGGGCAAAAGGCCTTCCATTGAATAATCTTGGAGTATATCAAGGTGGTAGGGTACTCTTGGATTCTTTTGAAGTGTCTGGGAAGTGCAAATCGTGTTCTGTTCAAAATAACTCCTTGGATAGGATTGATATCTCATTTGCAGAAGGTGTGCCCTTGCTGATTAGGGCATTCTAACCTCTCCAAGTTTGTGCCCAAGTGTTTGGAGTTTGTTTCTATTTCCCATCATTTCTTTTTGTTACAGCCGTTGAAATTAGTCTATTTACAGAATGTGTTGAGAACATGGTGATGAACATGCAAACAAAGAATGCAATTTCCCCAACTCTCAGGGACATTGTATTCCATTTGAGTAAAGATAATGAAAGATTAGAGCAAACATTCCATGTAAGTGAGAATTTTGATATCCTAGTAGATGCATTTAATAAGGAAGCTAACCTGGGTAACAACTCAGTTGAGGACCATGAAACCTGGACCTCTAATCATGATGAAGTCTCAAGTGTTGTGAATGAGACATTCAGTTATGGTCCTACATTTCACGGCCTGCATGAGATATTTTAGTTACTTACGAAGAGGTGAAAGAAATATGAATTATCACCGAAGTATTCTTGGTTTATGTGTAGGAGAATTGTTTACATGCATCATATGAAGCCAATCTTCAGGAGGAATTTGAAGATGTTGCTTCGGTGCTGTGTCAAGGGTTCCTGTTGTGGAATACTTGGGCCAGTCCTGATCATTGGAAATATTGGAAGTTCAAAGGTAAATAACAGCAGGGAGGTGACATTACTCATTACTATTATTATTATTTTTATCTCTGTCATAGGCATCTAAACTAGTTTGACTATTTATCTTTTGTGATTTTTGTGGGTTCTGGTGATGTTCCTGCTACAGAAAGTAGATTAGCTTCTGCTGCTAAGAGACCTAAGAACAAAAACATGATGCATGTTGATATTGATTTCATGAAATCCTTGGACAATGAAATGCCTGATATATTTTCTCCCCCCAAAAATCCTAAGTCTTTGATGCTACCTGCAAATTGAGCACTCTGTAGCAAAACACTCCCAATGACTGCCATTATTGCCGGGAGAATCTTGTCAAATTGTTTCTTCCTCCTAATGTTCTGATAATGCAAATTTATTTATATAAAGAAAAGAGGGCCTTCATTGAACCTTACACCTTTCTTTTGATGGGTCATTCAGGGTTGGGTTGCTAGCTTGGTTATTGGGCTCATACTTCAAGTTTCACACTTCATGTTTTTTTATTAATCTGACAGGTGACTTGGGCTTGGCTCTTTTATGATTTTAGATACCAAATTGACTCAGATGAGATCACTAAAACCTTGGGCCGTACAAATGGCTCTGGATGACCAATCTTATGTTATCACTTTGATGTATCATTTTTTTTCTTTTCCTTAAAGTTGGCTGAGGTGGTTAATGATGAAATGCCTTCTTGATTCTAGTGCCTAGGGAAGAGTAGAAGAAAAGATTCAGGTATAAGTTTTATCCAAGAAACAAGCACTGTTTGTCTTCTCTTGGGGTTCATTGATGTTACTTTTAAGAGTTAGTTTGTTTTACCAGATTATAGTTCATGGCAACAAGACAATGATTTAGAAGAAGAGTTGCCATCATGGGATAATGAAAGTGGAGTTAGCAGCCAATACAATGATGGATATATTCACGATGATGTGAGAGATTCTTATGAATTTGTGACTTAGCCTCACAAGGTTTGTTTTTGTTCTATAAACCCTTCACCTTTGACTCTTTCTTTGTTATTAAAACCATTTATTTCACCATTCAGCATTGTATGTTCCTGTCAGCATATGGTCATGAAAGAGGATAGTTTTTCCTATTGGAATTCTATGTAGTATTATTTTACCAAAAAGTATATATGTATTATTTGGTAGAAAATAATTATTATGGACGAGAATTTTTCTCTGAAAGTTTCAGAAAGAACAATGGTTAGATTTATGCTGGGGAAATTTGGCTAATTCTATGTTGAGTGTTCCTTTTTTGTCCCCTTCCTTGTCAAGAAAAAGAACTCAAACAAATTATCTCATCATGGTAGATATTAACATTCCAATGGAACTCTACTTTATTATTAAATTTTAAAGGTGTTATGTATGTGAATTTGTTTTGTGTATGTTTGGGCTCACAAATTTATTTGTTGTTGACCATTTAATCGACAAACTACCGCTTATTATGG